AAGCATGTTTCCCACCATGCTCGTCCCATCACCCCCTTGGGTTGTACGTCTTTGCTTGCTCTCCCTCCTGGCATGCCCACTATTCGCATCTCATTTCTTCACAGTGATCTCTCATCCAACTCGTTGACTGGCTCTATTCCCAACAGCATAACCTCGCTCCGTCTGCTCTCCTCTTTGTCAGCATTACCTCTCTGTTTGATCTTTCTCCGTGGAGACCATAGTCGTCAACCATTTGGGCTGCGGGTTGTAGCACACTCTGTTTAGCTAATGTCAGGCATTACTTATCCTCCTGCTCAAGATGCAAAAAGATGGCATTTTTCACTGAGCACCCAAATGGGGCACCCAAGCACGTTGGTTCCCCACATGCTCGCCTTCTGTCACTGTTACCCTTCAGGCCAAACTTTTCTTTTTCAGTTCCACGCTTTCACTCACTTCTTCACCTTTTAGCCTTCTAGTGGTTCTACGGCGCTAAGCCTTTCACTGTGGCTGTCTCCTTGTTCTATCAACTTTAGTGCACTCCTGGTATCTTGCCCATTCCATGGGCTTCCCTTTCTACACATACATGCATGCTGCATGCATACGTACATACGTACATACATACATACATACATACATACATACATACATACATACATACATACATACATACATACATACATACATACATACATACATACATACATACATACATACATACACTAAGAGAAAAAACCGTCCGGATGTTTGGCACTAAGTTGGGTTTTTAGGCTTTGAGACTACTGTATGGTAAACCTGCAAGATGCACGGTGGTACACGTTGGGAGAGGCACAAAGTGGATGCGTTCACATCACTAAGAAATAGAGTAGTACATTGGATCTAACTCATACTCCAAAAGTTATACAACGAGTACATCCGGACAGTTTTTTCCCAGGACAAAGAGCAAACTTCCGAACAGCGTTTCTAGTAACTAGTCCACCTACTTTTGGCGTTGATCACCACCTGCACCCTCTTAGGCATGTTATCTACGAGGTTAGTGCAGACCTTGGCATGAAGCTTCTCGCACTCTTCCTGGACCCACCATTTTGCATAAGGGGGTGAGCACAAGGAAAATTGCGAAGTATTTGAGCGTTTGCATAAGTATTGTGCACGAATTCGGATTGAATGTTATCTCAGAGACTAGCCAAGCCGAGGGGTGGCCAAAGATGCCATTAGTTAAATGGTCCCGGCTTATCATGGGTCGTTTTCGTCGTATCGTTCTAGGGTAAAATCACGAATAGAGTGGCAAAATCTAGCATTCCCACCACGAAACTTAGGGCAACAGAGCACGGTCGATTGAGCATCCTTTCACTGTGTGTACCACGTTAAAATCCGCGGGTCTAGTGATGGTGCAGCAGTCGCAGAAACCTCGAATGTTTGGGAAGAATATCTGGATTGAGGTCTGGTGAGGAAAAGGGTCACTCCAGCGCAACATACTCATGCTCTCCAAGCCATTCCATGTCATTTTTCCTGCCTAGGCTTGGAATGGATTGGAGAGCATGGATATGTAGCACTGGAGTGACCCTCTTCCTTACCAGACCTCAACCCTGATATTCTTCCCAAACAGTTGAGGCTTCTTCAACTGATGCACTGTCACTAGACCCGCGGATTTTAACATGATTCTAACAATGAAAGGATGCTCAATCGACCGTGCTATGTTACCCTAAGTTTCGTGGTGGGAATGCTAGATTTTGCCACTCTATTCGTGATTTTACCCTAGAACGATACGACGAAAACGACCCATGATAAGCTAGGACCATTTAAGTAATGGCATCTTTGGACACCCCTTGGCTTGGCTAGTCTCAGAGATTACATTCAATCCGAATTCGTGCACAATACTTATGCATACGCTCAAATACTTCGCAATTTTCCTTGTGTTCACCCCCTTATGCAAAATGGTGGGTCCAGGAAGAGTGCAAGAAGCTTCATGCCAAGGTCTGCACTAACCTCGTAGATAACATGCCTAAGAGGGTGCAGGTGGTGATCAACGCCAAAAGTAGGTGGACTAGTTACTAGAAACGCTGTTCGGAAGTTTGCTCTTTGTCCTGGGAAAAAACTGTCCGGATGTACTCGTTGTATATCTTTTGGAGTATGAGTTAGATCCAATGTACTACTCTAGTTCTTAGTGATGTGAATGCATCCACTTTGTGCCTCTCCCAACGTGTACCACCGTGCATCTTGCAGGTTTACCATACAGTAGTCTCAAAGCCTAAAAACCCAACTTAGTGCCAAACATCCGGACGGTTTTTTCTCTTAGTGTACATACATACATACATACACACACACACACACACACACACACACACACGTACATACATACACACATACATACATACACATGTGCCATGTGTATACACACACACCTCCGCACACCCACGCCCACATATACCCAACCCCACACACACACGCACGCATGAATACTTACAAACATGCAGACACGCATGGATTTTTACGATTGACTAGTAGGGCTGTGGAGCAAATGAAGCCACTTCTTGCCACCGAGTTTCTGCATGTTGGCACGTCTCTTAGACCTTTTCATAATCCACTATTCAGCAATGTCAAGTAAGGTCAATAAACACCGCTGTCGTGTAATATGGGCCGTATTATACGACCGCTGTTTTCGGTCATTTAGGGGAAAGAACTTTTCGGAAAATTTAATAGAACCTTTCGGAACTTTTAATTCTAGAAGCCTCAATGTCGGCCAGGTCCGTGCATTCCGCCCCCCAAAACGTAAAATCCGTGCATTTCGGCAGCCAAAATGTCAGCTCTGCGCATTTCGTCCGCTACAACGCGAGATCCGGGACATTTTTGCAGGCGAACTGTCAAATCCGCGCAAATGCCACATCTCTCCGGTATTCGTCCACTAGAACACGAGATCCGGGTAGACATGGGCTCGAGCCGAGCCGAGACGAGCCGGCTTCGAGCCGGGATTCATGCGAGCTGAGCCGGATTGAGCCGGCTTCAGCAGAAACCTGGCTCGACCCGGTGAGGCCATCTGCGAGCCGAAGCCGAGCCTGTACCTAGCCGGGGTTGGCTTGGCTCGTTATTTGAAGCCTTGAAAGCCAGGGTGGCGGCGGCTTGGCGAGGGTTTCTGCAAACGCGACTTGAGAGTCGCGTTTTCTGGGGGGTCGAATATTGGCAAAGATATGGTGGTGGGAGTGGGGGCGGAGGGTGGGGGTGGTGACGGTTGTGGAGAAGGAGGTGGTGAAGGGGATGTTTCAAGGAAAGTGACATCGCGGGAGTAGACCACGCGGCGAAGGGAAGGGACGTAAATGCGATACGCTTTGTAACCGTCAAGGACTCCATAGCCAAGGAAGACGCCCGCGGTGCTACGGTCATGTAATTTAGAAGGCCGCTGAAGAGAAGGTAGAAGCACAGAAACGGGGCAGCCAAACACGCGAAAGTGCGTGACATCCGGCCGCTGACCCGTCTACAGCTCCATAGGGGTGACGGTACGAGGGAGCGAACGGGAGGGAGAGTGATTCCGAATGTAGGCAGCGGTGAGGGCCGCTTCTCCCCACCAACCACGAGGAAGGCCGCTGTCATGTAGCATGCACCGCACCATGTCTAGGATGGTGCGGTTCAGCCGCTCCGCGACGCCATTCTGCTGCGGAGTATATGGGGCTGAAACCCGCCGGGTGATGCCATGCGAATCGAGGAAGGTCTGAAAAGCTGTGGAAAGATACTCCGGGGCACCATCTGATTGCAACGCCTTGAGGCGCGTGTTACGTTGGCGTTCAACAGTAGCGAGATAGCGCTGAAAGGTGGAGAGGACGGCAGAGCGCGATTTAAGGAGGTAGATGGTGGTAAAGCGGCTGAAGTCGTCAATGAAGGTGAGGATATAGGTGGCGCCGCCAAAGGTGGTGCCAATGGGAAAGGGGCCAGCGACATCCGTGTGAACGAGGTCAAGCGGGGCAGAGGAGGAGGAGATGGAAGGTGGGAACGGTTGGCGAGTCTGCTTCCCACGAAGGCACGAAGTGCAATTGGAAGGGAGGGAATCCTGGAGTTGGAGACCGCTGACCATCCGTTCAGAGTGAAGTTGCTGCAAGCTGGGGCCGTTGAGATGCCCAAAGCGGCGATGCCAAAGGAGAGTAGCGGCAGCAGAGCACGATGCTGGAACAAGTGGAAACGGGGTCGACACAGTAGAAGCCGGAGCTTGCGGGGTTAAGGCAGCAGGGCTGAGACTGAGAGAAATGAAGAACAACTTCATATCCTCGTAGGCAACAGCAAGAAGGGTGGACCCCTTGAACAGTTGGGCTGGAGCATGAAGGGGAAAGTGGGTGGTGAGACCCTCTTCCTTTAGCTTGCGTACTGAGATGATGTTGTGAATGGTTTGAGGAATATAGAGGACATCGTGGAGGGTAACAGGATGCGTATGGTTCTCGTGACGAGCATAGAGGATGATATCACCAATGCCTTGGGCAAGATACTGTTCACCGCCGCCAAATCTAACGCCACTACCAGGGGACGGCCGGTGGAGGGAAGAGAACAGATGAGGATTATTGCATAGATGGGATGAAGCGCCAGAGTCAAGGAGCCAGGAAGAGGGGGAGGAGGAATGGGAGCTGGTGAAGGCGGAGGCTAGAGGGCGCTGAAACATAATGGAGAAAAGGAAGAGCAGGAGGGAGAGGAGCACAAAGAGCGAGGGAAGGAATGGGAGCGACGGCAGCCAAGAGGCAGGGAGTAAGTGAGCGGTAGCGACATCAGCGTAGCGAGGGTCAAGTGGAGAAGACATCAATGCCGTGGACAAAGGAGGAGTGGCAGGTGTCTGGGAAGTGGGGTCGTAGCTAGGAGAGGGGAGGATGGGCTGGGCAGAGTGGGCAGAATAAGGCAGAGGGGAGTGCGTGGATGCCTTGTTGGGCGAGCTGGATGTGTGAGAACGGAAGTTGAACTGCTGCTGCTGCTGGAGATATGGCTGGTGGTGCTGCTGCTGGTGCAGGTGCGGCTGCTGCTGCTGCTGCGGCTGCTGCTGTTGCTGCTGCTGCTGCTGCTGTCGCCGTTTCTTCTTCTCGAGTAGTGGGCAGTTGGTGATGGCATGACCAGCGGCCTTGCAATAGCGGCAGGAAAGGGTAGAGGTGTTGAAAGTCGGTTTGGATGTTCCATATTGTGCGACATAAGCACCATCAGCCGGGATTGAAGATTGCTTGGCAGCACGGTCCCATTCAGCATCCACAAGGCGTCCCTCAAGCCACTCAAGTGTCATGTCTTTGATTTCTCGGACAGAGCAAAGAGTCTCGGTAAGGGTGTCATAGGACCGGGGAAGACCGAGGAGGATAGAGGTGATAGTCACCCAAGAGGGAAGACTATATCCGCTGGTTTGCAGTTGCAGATCGAGGCCACGAACGTGGTCAAAGTAGGCACGGACGGACTGGCCGGGATCCATGCGGACAGAGAAGAGTTGACGCAGCAGACCAAATTGAGCTTGATTGCCAGTTTTGGCAAACTTCTTGTTAAGAAGAGCCCACAACCCGGCAGCAGTCTCGGTTGGAGAAACAGACATGGAGAGCTGGGTTGGAAGTGTGGAGAGAAGGTACAGCAATGCCCGCTGTTCTTGCTCAGCTGCTGCAATGGGAGGGGTAGCAGGGGGCCGACGAGCCTCGGTGGATGGAGTGGCCGGCGCGTCAGCCGTTGAAGAAGCACTAGGACCGGTGGACGAAGAGGTGATGGTGGAGTCACCAAGGGCACCAACGATGCCGACGAGTTGAAATGTGAGAACCACCATCCGCTTCCAGTGGTTGAAGTTAGAGCCATCGGGGAGGAGGGAGGGTAAAGTGAGTCGTCCCAAATGGCTGTCCACAGTGGCCATAGCCCCAAAATAGGACGTCCACAAAAATTTACGCGATGGCCTTAGCTGAAAGTCGAAGAAAATGTTGTCAAGGGTGGGAGGAACGTTATAGAAACATTTACGGTTGAAAAATCTACTCACATGCAGATGGGCTGACCAATAGAGGCTCAGCTATAGCTCTGATTACCATGTAGAAAAGTAGACTTGATGTGCATAGCTGTAAGATGCACAAGTTGGAGATGGTAAAGATAGGGTCCAAGAGGAGCCCTAGAAAGTGTAGGACAAAAAGGTAAATAAAGATGACAAAGACATTAGGCTAAGTAGGCCCAGATTGTGAAGAAGAGAGAGATGGAGAAGTGCTGGGCGACTTGGGCTGGTCCAGGTGAGGAGAATGGCACCCAAGATGCTTGGGGTGCCCAATTGGGTGCTCAAGTCGCCCATAGTCAAGGTGGGGACGTGAGGAACCCTCAAAGTGGGCCTGGAAGCGCCCCCACTAGTGGAACCGCGATTCCACAAGTTGGATTCGTGGTTCCACAAACTGGAACCGCGTTTTCATGGTTGAGAAACGTGGGTCCAGGTTGGAGTCGCGTCCCAAATGTTGGGATGCGTGGTGAGGTACCCCAATTCGGATTTTGGGGTGCCTAGCCTCTGATAAAATCACTTGGGGGGCACCCTATTCCTAATATGACCCAACCACTAATGTCTACACCTAATATAATGTAACACATTACACATAACAGAGAAATGTACTAAGTTGACTACATCCTAGATAAAAGCCTAAAACAGATCCTCAACAACAGTTTCAATCTCACCACATACTCAGGAAATCATGTGGGGTTGTTCATTAGTGGTTGAGAGAACGTGCCCTTGATCCTGTGAGGTTGAAAGTGTGGCGCTTCTCTTCGGTGTGTACGGCAGTCTCAAGGACTGGCACCGCTATGTTTTAATGTATCCACGTTGCTGCAGGCGTATCAACGACACGAGCCTTAACGGAACGCTGCCAGCTTTTCTTGGGAGATTCGCATCCCTTAATTCACTGTATGTGTGAAGCACCAGCCACCCACTGCATGGACGCACATGTGATTGTTCGTGCGAGGCGGGGCATGGAATGGGACTATGCATGGTGGGTGGGTTGGTTGGCCAGAATGTTGGAACACAGTCCTGAACAAAGGTCTATGCCAATGTAGGTATGTCTAAGGCTAGAGGAAAAGAACAAGAGCTTCAACCTGTTAAAGCCCAACTGGCTGGTTGCATGTGGTGAGCAGTGTTGGGTTGGAGGTAGAGAGCCAGGAGAATATGAGAGGTCGACGAGTAGGAGGGTGGGCAGATTTCTGGTCCACTTTACCTGGCAAGGCTATCACTGCCAAGATTCTTGAGGCCAGACATCTTGAATGAACGCAGTCAGTGGCAGGGTTACTCCCGATCCCCTGCTGCTCGAGATGATTTGCGTCCACCAGTGAAACTGCAACATGCTGATTGGGCTCAATGAGAATGGGAACGTGGTTTGGGACACGTTGTGGCCACTGTGGCTGTGCCTATGTATTCAACCGTTCCACCTCCCCTTTCCACTGCAGCAACATCAGCAGCACAAACCTCACGTGTCCACCTGACTACACCGCCTGTGCTTCAACACAGTCGCCTAAGACAGCCTTCTGCCGGACGTGCCCTTCCTTCTGCAACACCTGCGGCAAGCCACCACCAGGCAAGCAGATAAAACTAATTCCATCCGAGGAAGTCACCGTTGGTGAAAACTCTTCATACTGCAAGCATGACACAAGGCATGGCTCCTTTTTCAAGGACGTTGCATCATACCACTTGCTTTGGACAGCCAATGGGGTGCGCTGGAGCATGGTCCAATTTGTTTTCATCATGAACGTGCACATTAACGCCAGTCATTACGTCCATGTTGTTCCGTTGGAAGTGGTGCACTGCCCAGGTGATTGTTTTTCTAGCAGAATTGACCGCCGCTTGGTTACTGCAATCGTCGTGTGATGCAAGAGGTTATGTCTGCCTCGCTGTTTTGCTGCACCTTCTGCGAATTAACTAAATGTAGTTTTCTGAGCATTGTTCTACGCTCCTGTAGACCCAATCACAACCAGCAGCACCAGCACCAGTGAGTCCTCTTCAGCAGCATCTGGAGGTGGAGGTGTATCAATGGGAGTCATCATTGGCATCGCTGTTGCTGCTGTGGTCGTTCTGCTGCTTCTGGTTGCCGCACTGCTCTACTTCAGGCACAAGAAGCCAAAGGGTAGAAACATACACCAGTCGCTATCCGTTCACACGCATTGGAGAGGTTTGGACTCTATAATTGCAGCATAGCGAGTGAGGTGCAAAGCTTTCAGTGTGTGCGCCATCTTGTTGATACCTTTGAAATACTCTTCCCCACGCACTCTGCCCTCCTCTCCCTCTTGGGCCTTAGTCCTCCTTCCCCCTGTACTAAGTTGATTGTCACATGTCTCTTCTCGCAACACCATCTTTTATCCTTGCTGCCGGTTGTGCTAGAACATATGTATACCTTCATGCCCTAGATGAGGCACACCCACACTAGTCTGCCCTCACACTTGTTACTGGTGGTGTGGATCGGGTCAACACCCTTATGCGGGTGGCCCCACTAGAAGTGCAGGTGTTGGCTCACCCCACTTGTGGTAAAGTTGGTTTCACTCCAACCAGATCACGTGTGAGGGCAGCCAGGCCAACTTTAGTGCTGGCAAACAATAAGTAGGCTAGAAGGTCAACTTCACACTTGCCTGTATATACTACATGTGTTTTCTTTAGCTATTTACAACTCTCTGCTTCCTACGCCTAAGTTCCGTAACTCCAATTTATCTTTCACCCGTGACCCCACCAGCAGGCCTGGCTGGCAGCCTAGCAGCCTCCCACTGCACCGAGTTCTCACTGCCTGAGATCCTTGAGGCCACCAACAATTGGTCGGAGGACAACCAGCTTGGGTCGGGTGCCTTTGGTGATGTCTACAAGGGTGTGTCTCCCCGCGATGGCACCACAGTGTGGGCTGTGAAGCGAGCCAAGCTGATCGACGTGGACTTCCAGAGGGAGGTCAGTGAGCCGCACTTGATGCTCTGGGTGGTATGAAGCCGATCCATGTGGACTTCCACAGGGAGGTCAGTGAGCTGCGCATGGGAGATGGGGTGGGTATGGAAATGCTACTGGCATGAGTGTCTGTTCAGCTTTGAAAATCTACTGGAAAAGAAAAACCAGCAATTTAACAAAGAATGATGTTTCTTGGTGCAGAATGTGCATATTTCAAATCAAGACTGCGACCCCGCCAAGTGTAGAGGCCTCTCACTTTGTTCCTCTTTCTCTGCATTCTCTGCTACCTCCCTTTCTCTTATCTCAGATCGAGCAGATGGCCGACAAGAACCACCCGAACATTGTGCGGCTGCTAGGGTTTGCTGTTGGAGGGGATGTAAGGTCACGGATAGAGCAAGTCTTGATCTACGAGTTTGTCCCCAATGGTGACCTCCAGAGGTGGATCGATCCAAGTAAGTGTGCAAGTCACTGTATCGCATTCAGTCAAACTTCCGCCCCATGGAGCAGAAACATTGTGCTCCAGAAAACCTCGACACCCTAGTTGAAAGCGTTCTAAAGAGACGCTACAGATTCCGCGACCGCCACCCTTCCCTACGATCCACCCCTATAATGCAAAGCGCGAAACGACGGCAAAGATGCCTCATGTATGCCTATTTATTATGTCTAGGACGTTGCTGCTCTTACATTAGTGGGCAAAGACACTACAGAGTGTCTGATGGGAAGGGAGGGAAGCTTTTTGACGAGTGGGTTGTTCCCGAATCCACTTCGCAAGACAAATCCGCCAAACTGCCGGAGATCCTGAGATGTGTTGAACAGCCAAGTTGAATCTCCACATTCTGCTGGGTCATTTTACGGTGTGAATATGACACTTGGTTGGACGTTGCATCCTTCTTGCTATGCCACTCATGCTATGCTGCGCATTTTGTCTGATGCTTGTTGCGACACTCATGTTATGAATCGTTGCAGAGACATCCTCTCCTTTAAGCCTGAAGCAGCGGCTGGACATTCTCATTGGCATTGCACATGGCTTTAAGTACCTCCACAGTTTTGGCATTGTGCATCGCGACATCAAACCCGCCAACATCCTCATCACCACTGACATGAAGGCAAGCTTGGTTGCACCAAGACACTGTATAACCACATGATGGGGTCGAGAAACATCTAGAACTACAATTAACATGATGGAAAGTGCGCAGACATACATGATGGTGCATATGAAAACATTTCTCAGTGGAGTACGTGCATGCGTTATTGTTCTACAGCATTCCATACCGTTTGACCTTGTTCCTGCATCAAGTATATCTATTTATGAGTAACTTATTTTCAGGCTGATTTCAGGACCTCTTGTGTTTCTTGATTGAATGCATTGTTGGTTCACTCACTACTACTTATGATTGACTACCTCTCAGCCCTTTTCGTGTTTGCTCCCATCACCTGATGTAACAACACCTTTTCCATCCTTGACGACAACCTTGGGAGCTTTTCTTTATTATGCATACTCTATGAAGCATCGTGCAACAGCAGCACCTAATACCTTCATGTGTCTTCTTCTCCATCACTACTTCCCTTATTCCTGCTACATCAATGCCATCACGCTGGAACTCACCAGGCCAAGATTGCTGATTTTGGGCTCCTGAGGGCGGGGGAGGGCACCACAGTGGGCACTACTCGAATCATGGGAACACCGGGCTATGTGGATCCAGTTTACTCCAGGACGTCCAAGGCAATTCCTGCCAGCGATGTATACAGGTGAGATTAGAATACCGTGAAACTTATGGCATTTGATACAACTGATATAGGGATGTCATCTACCTGTTAAACACTACAATTTCATTGGCATGTGTTAGCATTTCAGTGGTACTGATTATCACCAGCACGGAACAAACATACATTATCATGCCGTTTCTTTATCATATGCATCCCACCATCTTAGTGCAGCTTTGGCGTGCTCATCCTAGTGGTGCTCACTGGACGCCCTCCACTCTCCGAGTCTGCTGGAGAAAGCAGGGAGATCATGGTGTGGGTAAGTAACCTTTTTCTTTACATTTTCCCCATAGCAGCAAGAGACCTATGCCGAGGCTCGCTTTTTTGCCTCATTGGTTGCAGTTGCAGCCAAAGAAACAGTTCCTATGCTATTTCTTCCATCCTCCCACTTCCCCAGGCATCCTAGCGCCTAGCCTCCGTCCGGTGACTTAGTGAGCTTCTGCATGGACGCCCTGGGGGATGCTGTGCTGCGTGTGGGTTAGCTGGCGATCAGTTACACCGTGGAGCTGGTGAACACTGCCTTCAACTCATCACCCCTCGCTTGCTATTTCTTCCACCCTCCATTCTCTCAGGCATCTGGGTGCGTGTCCTCGGGTGACATGGGAAGCCTCAGGGACCCCAAGATGGAGGCCCCTGGGGATGCTGTGCTGCGTGTGACTCAGCTGGCGATCAGCTGCACCGTGGAGCGCACAGCTAGCCGCCCAACCATGGCTCACGTTGCCAACGAGCTGCAGGCCATCCTGGAGGAGGTGGTGGGGAAAGATGAGCTGAGCGCTGCAGTTAAGGTGGATGCGCAGGTGCAGCAGATGAAGGTCTTAGCGACGAGTCAACAGAGCCTGGAAACTGATCTAGAAACCCTGCAAAGGGAGTGTCCACTCTGAAGGAGATGTGGAAAGTTGAGGATCAACTCAAGGTGATTGGGGAGAGCTTCTCGAATGAGAATGCTGTTTAAATTCGTACTGCGTGTGGTACTTTGAAGGTGGATGCTGCAGGAGATGAAGGATGAAGGATGCTTTCACAGGTGTGCGCTGAACTTGAGATGATTGGGAAAAGTTTTGCCCCCGAAAACCCAGTCCAGTGGCGTATTTCAGGCCACCATTCAGATTCGCTTTCATTCAGACACGCATGCTACAGGAGTAATGGCACTTGTTAGTTGCAAGCTTTAGTCTGGTTCAGCTCTGTCTCGGTTGATGTTGTTCGCCAACAAAAATGCTGTCCGTAAAGGGAGTACCGTAATCAGGCCTCCAAATTGATTTTGGGGGTGTCTGATGTTGGGCTGACAATAGCCCTATGATCTTTTCAGAATGCTAAGTCCTTGTAATAGAGTGCTTGATAGCACACCGGAAGTCTTGAGTTGAACCCTTATACTGGTATATGAGAACGAGTGATTGATTATAGCAAAGGGATACAATGTTTATATTATAATACAAGAGAATATGAAGAGTCTAACTGTTTTGCACTTAGTGGGATTTGAGCAGTTAGCAGACCATCGTTGGGTCGTCGACGTAGGTGTGGGGCTGCTCGACGAAGATGTCGGCGTCGACCGGGGCGTAGAGGAAGGCGATGGCGACGTCGATTGGGCGCATGGGAAGGCGACGAGCGGCGGCGACGGCGAAGAGGATTCGAAGGGAAGTGTGGCGGCTGACGGGAGCGAACGTCTCCGTGTACTCGCTGGCGTACTGGTGTTCAAATCTGCGAACGACCCATCGTGCTTTGAAGAGATCGATGGTCCCATCTCCCTTGGTCTTTATTCGGAAGACCCATTTTCCCGACAAGATTGTTTTTCCCTTGGTTTGGGAGATCGGGATAAGCGTCCAGGTGTTGCGTTCTGTGTACCGCCACTACCCTGTCCATTGCCTCCCTCCATTTCTCCCTGTGTGGCCCTTGCAGTGCTCGCTTGACAGTCTTCGGCTCCTCGACTGGCGGCGATGAAGGAGGATGCACCACTGCTACCCGTCCGAGGATTTGAAGTCCAGTCTCGGTGTAGCGAGGGAGGGTTGGATCCTCGGGATGAGCTGCTTCGTCACCTGCTTCAGGATTAGGTACGAAACCTGGTCCTACGCGTTCTGGGACATTTGTGTCGACGCTGTTGCGTGTTACGTAACCAGTGTCGGCGAAGTGGTAGCAGGCTTCGGCATTCGCACTTTCGCGAGGGTTATCGTCGTCCATCTGCATGTCGACAGAGCAGTAGGGAAGGGGTCCTGCAGCTGCCGACGCGTGTGCTTCAGCGAAGCCACCGGATGGGTCCCGATTGGCTGCGATGTTCTCTAGGTAATGGTTGAGCATGAGGTTTTAGTAGAAAATCACGTCACGTGCTGGAATTGTTTCCTTATCCTCGACGTCGAAAAATTTCCAGGCCTTATAGTGTTGTTCCACACCGAGGTGTATACCCCATCTTGCCCGCTGCGAAAATCGCCCTGCTCTTGCAATGTGTGGACGGTACTGGACCATGCACCCGAACACGCTTAACAATTTTGTGCGGCCCTGCTTCCCTGTCCACAGCAGATGTGGTGATGCGTTGTTTGGCAGGGAGCTCGACGACAGAAGATTCTGCAGCGTGACGGCGTGATTCATCGCCTCCGACCACTACGAGTTGGGCAGGCGCATCCCGGTCAGTATCTTCCTTATGGTGTTCTGGAGGGTTCGATTCATTCTCTCTGCTACGCCGTTTTGTTGGTGAGCGTAGAGGAGGGTGACGAGCCTCTTGATTCCCCTTTCTGCGAGGTAGTCCTTGAATCGTTGTGACTGATACTCCATCGCTCCATCGGATTGAAAGCCTTTTAGCTTCGTCTCTCCCTCCCGTTCTGCTGCACCAAGCCATGCGACGAAGGCAGAGAAGGCGAGGTCTCATGACGGTAGATTAAGATGCCAAGTGTATCTTGTCGCAACATCAACGAAGGTGATGACGTACACTGAGGGAAAAAACCGTCCGGATGTTTGGCACTAAGTTGGGTTTTTAGGCTTTGAGACTACTGTATGGTAAACCTGCAAGATGCACGGTGGTACATGTTGGGAGAGGCACAAAGTGGATGCGTTCACTGCACTGAGAACTAGATTAGTACATTGGATCTAACTCATACTCCAAAAGATATACAACGAGTACATCCGGACAGTTTTTTCCCAGGACAAAGAGCAAACTTCCGAACAACGTTTCTAGTACCTAGTCCACCTACTCTTGGCGTTGATCACCATCCACACCCTCCTAGGCATGTTATCTATGTGGTTAGTGCAGACCTTTGCATGAAGCTTCTCGCACTCTTCCTTGACCCACCATTTTGCATAAGGGGGTGAGCACAAGGAAAATTGCGAAGTATTTGAGCGTATGCATAAGTATTGTGCACGACTTCAGATTGAATGTAATCTCTGAGACTAGCCAAGCCGAGGGGTGTCCAAAGATGCCATTAGTTAAATGGTCCCGGCTTATCATGGGTCGTCTTCGTCGTATCGTTCTAGGGTAAAATCACGAATAGAGTGGCAAAATCTAGCATTCCCGCCACGAATCTTAGGGTAACAGAGCACGGTCGACTGAACATCCTTTCACTGTGTGAACCATGTTAAAATCCGCGGGTCTAGTGACGGGGCAGCAGTCGAAGAAACCTCGACTGTTTGGGAAGAATATCTGGATTGAGGTCTGGTGAGAAAAAGGGTCACTCCAGCGCAACATACTTATGCTCTCCAAGGCATTCCATGTCATTTTCCCTGCCTAGGCTTGGAATGGCTCGGAGAGCATGGATATGTAGCTCTCGAGTGCCCCTCTTCCTCACCAGACCTCAACCCTGATATTCTTCCCAAACAGTCGAGACTTCTTCAACTGATGCACTGTCACTAGACTCGCGGATTTTAACATGATTCTAACAATGAAAGGATGCTCAATCGACCGTGCTCTGTTACCCTAAGTTTCGTGGCGGGAATGCTAGATTTTGCCACTCTATTCGTGATTTTACCCTAGAACGATACGACGAAGACGACCCATGATAAGCCGGGACCATTTAACTAATGGCATCTTTGGACACCCCTCGGCTTGGCTAGTCTCAGAGATTACATTCAATCTGAATTCGTGCACAATACTTATGCATACGCTCAAATACTTCGCAATTTTCCTTGTGCTCACCCCCTTATGCAAAATGGTGGGTCAAGGAAGAGTGCGAGAAGCTTCATGCAAAGTTCTGCACTAACCACATAGATAACATGCCTAGGAGGGTATGGATGGTGATCAACGCCAAGAGTAGGTGGACTAGGTACTAGAAACGTTGTTCGGAAGTTTGCTCTTTGTCCTGGGAAAAAACTGTCCGGATGTACTCGTTGTATATCTTTTGGAGTATGAGTTAGATCCAATGTACTAATCTAGTTCTCAGTGCAGTGAACGCATCCACTTTGTGCCTCTCCCAACATGTACCACCATGCATCTTGCAGGTTTACCATACAGTAGTCTCAAAGCCTAAAAACCCAACTTAGTGCCAAACATCCGGACGGTTTTTTCCCTCAGTGTAGCTGAGGTCGGCTCGGCCGACTTCTCGTGGGATGTAGAGTATATCACTGTAGACTTTCTCAAGTGGAGTGTACTCTGGTGCACAGGGGTTGTGATGTGATGGGAATAGTTGACGTGGAAGATCAGGTTCCGGGCAGATAACGCAGGTACTTTCACGACCATCGAGTAGTAGGAGCGCATCTTTGTCCAAGACATTCACACGAATCGTGTCGAATAACCTTGAATTTCCAGGATGCCCTAACCGTTGATGCCAAGTTTCTTCGCTTGCCTTGTGTCCTACAGATAAACGATACATGTCCGAGTTGGCGTAGAAGGCGGAGATGGTCGCGTCGCTCCGATGCTGCTCGCGCAGATGCGCCTTCAGCTGCTCAGCGTCTGTCGGTGATGGTTCTTCAACAGGTTCCGGTTCAGGCGGAGCTTCTTCGACGGGTGGTGCCGACGAAGGTCCCGCGATGGGACTTTCAGGAAGTTGGCTTGTCGGCGCTTGCGGTTGTGCTTCTTGTTCCTATGTTTCTCGTTCCTCTGCCTCTTGTTTCTCTGCTTCTTGCATCACTGCTAATGCTTGGGTGCTCTCTGCTTTAGGTATGATGTTGGAGTACCAGAAACCATCGCGGTCGGACCCGGGGTCAAGATCCGGCGGGTGCGTCCAGGGTGCGAAGGAGACGACGCCGTGGCTGACTGCGGTCCCGCGGTCCTGAACGAATTCCAAGAGGACTCCGTGCTTCTGGATGGCCCATGCCGAAGAAGAGGCTGCCCATCCTATGGTAGATTCGGAACTCTCGGTCGAAGTTGTCGCACTCTAGGTGAATTCCCTTTGATATCAGCTGGCTGATGCTTAAGAGGTTGTAGCCGAGGTTGTCGACGACGAGTACTCGTGACATTTGTAGTGTCACGTTCGTCTCGCTTGATTGTACTTGAACAACTCCCTCTTTCCTTGTGCGCAGGTTTTGGTTGTTGGCGACAGTGATGACGACTTCACGACTGAACGTCTTCTCTTGCTGGACAAAGCGCGTTTAAGAACACATCTGCTAGCCACAACAGCTTTTGAATGCTAGTTGAGCGCGTTTTCCATGTGTCGCGGCCAGATGGTTCGTCGCGAGCGATTGCAATGTAAGTCGGGTTGGTTGGAGCCGGGTTTGTGTCGGAGCAGGGGTTGTTAATCAAGATCGTTGTGTGGTGGAGAGTCAGGTATGCAGAAGTCTGTTCGATCCATACAACTGACGACGTTCCTTGCGTCTTGTGCAGAGTAGTTTGTCGGAGCTGATGGGCGCTGCTGAGTTGAAGCGACCGGATTTGGTGATGGACATGGCACTCGGGGTTGATACTGTGAGAACAGCAGCTGCTGCTGTTCCTGCTGCTGCTGCTGCCTCGGACAGTTGGGGTGCAAATGTTCCGTCATGTGGCATCAATGACAATACGGAGGTGAGTGTCGTTTCTGATGGTTGTGGTTGTGCTTGTTGTTGCGTCCGTGCGTGTAGAACGCTAGTTGCTGACTTGGTTTCTTCACATGTCTTTCTTCGTACAGGTCCATGTCCTGCTGCTCAGCGTGGAGCTCCGCGCACAGGTGCATCTCGGAGATTCGCCCGTGAGTGCGTAGAAGGGAGCGTGTCGTGCGCCACTGTGGACCGAGGCCGGCGAGGACGACCGTGACGAACGAGTCTTCCGATAAGTGCCCTCCGCTTCGTAAGAGTTTGTCGCGCAAGCCTCTGCAGTGATTAATGTAAGGCATTGCCTTCTCTCCCAGTTGCATCTGGATTGTCGTGAGTAGAGCCATTAGCCGACTCTGTGTCACGCTGTCGGTTGCTTGATATACGCTCTTCATATGGCAGTATGCCGAAGTTGCTATATGT